AGCCAGGGGCTCTGAGCCCCCCAGGAGAGGGTGGGAGGGGAGCAGGCTCCAGAGAGAAGCTGCAGCTCTGATCCCCAGCCTGGCTTCTGCCAATCCTGTCCTGAGCTCCTCACCCCCAGCTCTGTGGTGCCCCTCACTCCAGCCTCGCAGCCCCCCGCTCGCTCAGCCCTGGGATCCCTGCTCTGAGCACCCCACCCCCAGCTCTGCAGTGCCCCTGCTTCCGGCCTCGCAGCCCCCCGCTCGCTCAGCCCTGGGCTCCCTGCTCCGAGCACCCCACCCCCAGCTCTGCAGTGCCCCTCACTCCGGCCTCGCAGCCCCCCGCTCGCTCAGCCCTGCGCTCCCTGCTCCGAGCACCCCACCCCCAGCTCTGCAGTGCCCCTCACTCCGGCCTCGCAGCCCCCCGCTCTCTCAGCCCTGGGCTCCCTGCCCCCCAGCTCTGTCAGTGCCCTCAATCCCACCCCGCAACCCCTCTACACCAGTCCTAAGCACCCCTCCCCCCACCCTGCCAGTGCCCTTCAATCCTGGTCCCAGCTCACCCCCAGGTGGGGGTAAAAATGCAGGCCCTCAGGCAAGAGAATAACTCCCATTTCCCTGCCCACGGTTACATAGTTATGGCAGGGGCAGGCTTACACGTGCCGTTTCTGGGTGTGCGAGCAAGTGTTTAGCCATTGGAGAAATACAATTGTCATTAGCCCCATTTGGTCCTCGTAGGAGAGCTGTGGGGAGCTGCCGGAGAGTTTGCTCTTTGCCTTCCCCTCTCTAAGAAGTCAGTAAAGGAGACAGAGTCGCTCCTTGGGAATCACATGCTGGTGCTAGGCTGAGATTCCTGAGGGGGCGGATTTGCCTGCATGCTCTTTGTGACCACCTCTGCTCAGGGCCGGGTGTATTTATGTAAACAAACCTAGTGGCACTGGGCCTTTGGGGAGCTGCCGGAGAGTTTGCTCTTTGCCTTCCCCTCTCTAAGAAGTCAGTAAAGGAGACAGAGTCGCTCCTTGGGAATCACATGCTGGTGCTAGGCTGAGATTCCTGAGGGGGCGGATTTGCCTGCATGCTCTTTGTGACCACCTCTGCTCAGGGCCGGGTGTATTTATGTAAACAAACCTAGTGGCACTGGGCCTTGATATCACTACATTCTCCTCCCCCAGTCCCCGGCTGGCAGGGCCCTGATGTCTGCTCCTGCTCGGCCGATGGGCAGGGCTAAAGACAAGCCAAGTTCCCCTCAGCTCTGACTCGAGTCTGAGCTCAGAGCAGAGACTGGGCCAGGACTCACGTCCTCCTTGGCCTGTCGGGGTGAGAAATTCCCCGGGGTGGGGCCTCCCCCGCGGGGGGGGGGGGTGCCCCCTCTCTTTAGACTGCCCTCCACTGGGTTAGCCCAGCAGCTCCTTTTAAGTGCAGGGCCGTGAGGCCCCTGGAGCAACAAAAGAAAGCCAGGGTGCTGCATGGACCCATTTTGCAGGCAGCCTGCACTGCCCACACACACCCAGCACATGGCAGCCAGGGGGTAGAGTTCTGCACCGGCTGCCCCCCCCACCGAGACACCGGGCCATAGCACCCTGCTAGTGCCAACAGAGCTGAGGGAAGGCAGCTGCCTCCATCCCCCACCCCTTCCCACTCAAATGGCTGGGGAAGTCCAGAGCAACAGAACCGGCCTGCGTGAGGGCCGGGAGCTGTCCAGGGCCGTGGGGGGGAAGCACGGATAGGGAGCCCCTAACTTCCCCATTTGCTAAGACCCCCACCCTGAGCACCCTGTAGCCCAGTTAGCTTGCAGGGGATGTGGGGAGCCCTGATCTCACCCCCTGGCACTCCAATTTCCAGCAGCATCTCAGTTTCTATAGCTGAGCATTCAGGGTGCCCGGGCCCTTCACCTTGGCGTCAGGCCTGTCTTCCATTCCCCTAGGGAGCAGCAAAGTGAGCTGCCTGGCAGCAGACATACCCCCTCTTTGGCCTCAGGGAGGCCTGCCCATGTCCTGCAGCCAGGGCCCCCACCGGCCCCAAACACTCCCCGCGCAGCCTGCTGGGTAGCCCAGAAAGCTGCCTCTCTCCATTGTGCTGCAGGGCACCTGCCAGGCAGGGGACTGAGGCGAGAAAAGCCCCCGCAGCCCGGCCCAGGACACACCAGGGCCTGGTTGCTGGGGGATGCTGGCAGCCAGTCGGAGATCAGACACAGCCTGCAGCCATCGGGGACAGGAAGTGAAGGCAAATCTCACCCGGCAGGGACCAGGCTGGGGGGCAGAGAGCTGCTTGCAGGGAGGACTGGCGAGGCCACAGGAGCTAACAGACCCCTCTGCCAATGCCCCCCAGAATTCACCCTGCCCAGCGCTCTAGGGCTCTACCAGTCGACGCCCGGCTAGCACCTCAGTACCCCCTGCGCTAGCCAGCAGAGACCATCCCCCTGGGGGCAGAGGGAAGTGCCCAGCCCAGAGAAATCCTGCGCCTGGGGTCCAGCACTGCCCGAGGGACCAATGCCCAGGAACCTCCCCCCAGGCCCTGCAGCGCCTGGGCCATCTCCCATCTCCGCACTGGGGGAACAAGCCCCTGGGCAGCACAGGTGCCATCTGTCCTGGCCCACGACATGGAAGAAATGAGCCTGTGGCTGGGTGGCCAGGTGCCCCAGTTTTAAAGGGACAGCCCTGCTCTTTGAGGCTGCAGCGTCTACAGGTGCCTATTACCCCACCCCCTGCTGACTTTTCACACTGGCCATCTGGTCACCCTTGCTGGGGGCCGTCAGGCTCAGCCCGGGAGCAAATCCAAGGTAACAGGGCAGTTCTGCAGAACAGGGCTGGTGCTCCCCTCCACCTGTGCAGGGGGGGCTGGATCTGCCATGTGGCCCCATGCACCCTCCTCCAGCTCTGCACTATGGGCCAAATCTGCCATACAAGCCCTGTGCGCCCCTTCCCCCTGCTAGGCTGGGATCAGCCCAGGAGCTGCGGGACCATAAGTTGAAAGCTGCTGGCACCTAGTGGTTGTTTAAGGAACTCCAGCAGGGTTTGGAAATGGAGAGGTAGGTCCCTCGTCTCTCAGCTGTTCAGGGCTACTGAGGGTCCTTTATTCCAGCATCGCTGTGGCTCACTGCACTGTCCAGCCAGTCCCGACGCTCACGGGATCTGAGCATGGACCCAGGGCCCTGCGTAGACATGCTAAGAACCCCAGTCAGCTGGTACAGACTGTTTCTTCCACTTGGGGAAACTGAGGCACGATGATGCCTACAGCTGATCTACAGCACTGCCAGGACAGACTGCATCATTCCATTCCTTCTCTCTCAGCCCCCAGCAAGGCGACCACTGAACAGCCAGGCAGCAAGTCCCCAAGTAAGCTTAGAAAGGAACCAAGGAAGGGGGTCACTTCCACGAAAGGCCCCCCTCCAGGCAACTGCCTGGCCTAAAATAGCTCCTGGTGACTGTGGCTTAGTGAGGGTGTTATGCACCCAGGGGAAAGGCAGAGGCAAAACTACACAGCGGGGGCGGCAGCAGCTCCCGAGCTAGGGGTGCTGGGCTCCCAGGCAGGCTGTTGCAGTGCTTGCTCCCGCCACCCAGCCCTTCCTCGCTAAATTGGCACTCTGCTAGTGGGGCACCCACCCCCGTCCCCCTCCCTACGCCACTGCCTGGTGACCCCACAAGCCCCATGGGCTCAAGTGCCAAGGGAATTCTGCTGTACTGAGCCCAGTGGGGGTTTCCCTGCCACCTGCTGCCCCCAGGACAGTGTGTGACCCGCTCATGGCTGCATCAAGCCCTGAATTGTCCAGGCCTCAGAGCTTGGCAGAGCCAACACAGGGGCCCAGCAACACTGAGCCACTTAGCCCAGCTCCTCCCCAGCAGAAGAAATTGAAGGGGGCCACCCCCAAGTTCAGCTCCCCAGCATGGAATTTGCCCAGCCACCCACACTCCTGCAATGCGGGGGAGGCGGCAAGGGGGAAGGGACAAAAAGCACCAGGAGACCTTTGCTGGCCAATACATTTAATGGTCATTAGCCAGCCTAGAGACAAAGCTCAGCAGATCCCTCCTGGCACAAATCGGGTCTCTGCCATGGGCAAGTGGCTCGCAGCTCCTTCCGGCAACACCAAGTCAGCTGCAGAGACCGTGAGGGGAATGTCCCACCCTGGAGCCAGTTGCTCCCCATCCTTGCCATGGGGCTGCTGCTCACAGCCAGGCCAGCCAGTGGCCACCAGGCCGCAGTGTCCTGCACACACGGCAGCATGG